AAACAATGACATAATTTCTAGTTCTTGACGATGGCTACCTTTCCCTTTTTTGCTACGTTGTCCATTTATTTATTAATACAGCTAATGTTTGCATTGATGCATTCATGTTGACTTTTTTCTTGTTTAAGTAAGAAAATGACTATTTTTATTGAGTATAGCTTTGCCATCGATCATTTGATGCTTGATTTTGGTTTAGAAAAGTGTCTCCACAACTTGGGTACCACTACTAAATTCTGTCCATAAGAACCGAAAGAGAAGAAGTAAAAGATTATTTGAGACTACTTTTCCAAAAAAAAAAAAGTGACTTTACCAAAAAATAAATGTTTTCACACCAATTTATATATATATATATATATATATATATATATATATTAACAAAGAGAAAATCCATGATGAAAGAGTGATATAGTTCCAATTACTGCTGGAAATGAACCAAATAGCAAGGAATGTGATCTCCATGACTCAAGTAAGCTTCTTAAGTAATAATCCATGAAAATATGTATGAAGTTTCAGCCAGAGTAATTATTAACTAAGTTGAGGCAGAGTACAAACTAAGATGATGAATTCTGCTTTAGATCCATCATCTCCCATCCATTAAAGATACCTGGGGTTCCACAAGCCCCATCAAAGACAGTAAAAATATCTCTCAACAATGTTCGTGGAAGTTATTTGATCTTCATAAGTTTCAACAAATAGCCCAAACTCAATATTGTCTGGTGTACAAGTCGTGAATGCCTTAGTGCTTTTACTCCAAGCATCCTTTTCACCTCTGGATTTAAAACAATCTAGGAAGAGAGTGTCACAATGATGACGTGTCTTCTCTTTTTCACATATCATCCTCCAACATGTAAAGTGACGCTCAAAGGACATAAGGTACCATATGGCTCCTAAAATCAAAACTGACATTTTTGAAAATGCAAATAATCATAATAAGCTCAATATACACTAAATAGATTCTCAATATTTGTTTCTAAATTTAACTCCTATTTAATTTGATGGTTACGTATCAATATTTTAATATGTTTAATCATTGACACGATGATCTTTAAAGAAGCGCACCTGTTTCTTACTTCTTGAATCACCAAGATTTTTTCCTACCTAATTAACATATGTATAAAAGAGCGAATGCCATGGCTCAAAAGTGATGGTTGTTTTGCTGATGTGGCCAATTGTTATTGGCTGAAGTGTGTTCGTCCATGTGTGTGTGTTTGCTTGGTTTTTTTTAAATGCAGAGGCTGCAAATTGGGCCGTGCGTTTGTAAGCCTGAGTGTTTTGCTGTACCAAAAGAGCAATAATTAATAGCTGTCCTTTTTCTTTAAAAATTTTGGGTCATTTCTCTTCCCACCGTACCTATTTGCAGCCTTTTGGTGACACCGATTGGACTAATAAATTGTGATAAAAATTGGAGTAGTTACTGAGCTCAATGTGACGGGTCATGTCTTACTCATTTGCCCTGGTTGCCATGTTCATTTATCTTCTTTTTGCGATAGCTGTGCCTTGGTAAACCACCGTTGCCGTCTATATTCTTTGTCATTCAATTTTTGTTTCCATTTCCGAGCCACACGATTTCTCTTTTGGCCGATGAGCTCGAGACCAGGAAAGGTTCCATCTTTCTCTTCCTCTTTCTCTTTCCTCTTTTCATTTCTTCCTCTCTTCTTCCCCTCTTTGCTTTTCTTCCACTGGAACAAGCCAACAACAGTCCAACCGTCGAATGCCCACCTGTTTGAGTTCAATTTTTTTTTCCCAGATATCATGTCTATCTGTTGGATTTATATTACAGCAAGAGAAATGGGACAAAGAAAAACGTAAGCCATGAAAAGAAGAAATAGAAAGGGGAAAAATGGATCTTCATCAGAACATGTATGCTTTTGTTTTTACATTTTTTTCGTGAAATTTAAGCTGGTTCTGTGAGTCTTTTTTCGTTTAATTTTTTCCCTGATCAGAGGAAGAAGATGAGAAGAAGAATAAGCAGATAAAGAGAAGAGAATGGATCTTCAGCCTAATCGGGTCTGTAAGTTTATTTTTTATTTTAATTTAACCCATCAATTAGCCATCAATTATTTTTTATGAAAAGAAGAATTAGCCATCCGACTCCCTCTCTCTGACCCATGCTCTCTTTCTTCTCGTCTTCTTCCTCATCATCGCGAAGAAAGCTGCACTTTTTCTCTCCAATTTCTTTCTGATAGACAACAACAAAATTGAAAAGTTGGCTGGAATTTTTTTGCTTCAAATTCTCTTATTGCTTCATTTTTTCCAAACTATGTTTATTAGTCTTTTAGTTCTTTTTCTCCTATTATTTCTGACATCTCGTGCCACTTGCCAGTGTTGTCCCCGCTGATTAGTGCTGCTCTCGTAAGTCCCTCTTCTCCCTCTGATTCTAAGCAGTTCCTTTCTCATAAGTCCCTCTGTTTGCCTCTACTGAGTTCTTGAACTGCACTCGGAAGAATTTTTAGCCCATCTCGTGGTGGTAGCATTTGATGGTTACAGTTGCAGATTATTCGCCTTTTTCACTTGACACTGGCAAACTTATATTAGGTCAAGAAACTATAGTAAATATTATGCGCAAGTCCCAAAATTCGCCAACAGTAGACTAGTGCAAGGACGTTTATGAAGTTCAAGTTTTGATCATTGATTCGAATTTTGTTTTTTTCTTTTTAATGAGAGTTATGAAACTGAAATTATTGATGGGATTCTTTGTATTATTGATGGGATTCTATAAGAATGCATTTCTCTTTTTTGGTGAAATGTTGTTTTGTGTTTTCTACTTATTATATGCACTTTTTCTGTGGAAAGTTATGGAAAGAAATTAGACAGAAATATAGAAAATTTCAGACATATTTGAACTGAAAATGTTCCCAAAACCTATTTAAATGAAAAAAGACCATCATCAGTAGTCGTTAACGTTATTTTAAATGTATAGGCCTTGAAATTGCAAAGATTGTAGCTTCGTCCTCTCTGTTTTAATTTTGCCAGATTTCTTTTGTCTCTGTTTGGACCAACTAGGACACAGAAAATGTGCTGTTATCCCTATAATCCAAAGAACTGGATTAAATCAGTTAACTTTCTTTTATTTTTGCTATGGTGACACTTCCCCAGGAATTTCTTACGAATTAGCCTTGTAATTGGGAGTTTATGTGTAAGGGCTTGTATTGGAAGTTTCATGTCTATTGCCTGTTACTCTGTGACATTGTAATTGGCTCTGAATTAGCATATAATGAAAATTTTGTTCCAGACTGATCATACTTGTGCTGTTGCATTTACTGCCCTCTTTTGGAAATGTAGCCTCCATTTCATTGCTATTGCATAAGTATGATGATTGCTGTCTTTTCTGACACCTTGTGTCCTTTTCTCAGATATTTGGCCTTTTGGTATTTTTTATCTCCTATTATTTACCAGATTAGTTGTCTAATTTTTCCCTTTTATGATGTTGTGATGTTGCAGGTACATAATCTGGAAATTTCCTCCAACCATCTTCATGCGATTTTGTAAGTTTTGTTTATCCCTTTTGAAGATAGATTCTATAAGGTTATTTTCTCAAAAAAGTGTATTCTTTAACATTGTTTCCCATGCTTCTCGAACCTTCTCAGTTTAAGGAAGAAAATAGAAAAAGCAGATCAATGTTCCTGAAAGAAAGTACTTGCTTTTCATCTTTTTTCAGTTGTCTAATTCTGTCTGAATATTTATCATGTGGGGTTCTTGAATCTTTTTTTATTTTATCATTCTTAGTCCCATTTATTGTGGTTTTGTCGACCAGTATAATCTGGTGTTTGTATCAGTGATACTGGAGTCCTTGATTGGATTTCAAGAAATTGTAGGTTCATGGTGTACTGCCTTGTATACTAGATCATATGGTATATAATCTTGTTTTCAAGTTAAATTGGTCCTAATGACGGGTCAATGTGATTTTCATGCTAAAAAAGTCTTGTGTCGTTGATGGCTCGACTGAATTTTGGGAGTTTAGTAAGCTGTTGTAAGTAGTATTTTGTAGTGATAACGGTATTATTCACTATGACATTTTAAGAATTGTACCTAATCACGTGGATATTTTCTCCTCCTGGTGGTTTGGTGCTTATTCTTTTTTAAATACCTGATTGAATTATTTGATGATTTGACTTGTTGCTTATGGTTATACGTTGGTTTGTTTTGACAGCCTTGTGTGTGGAAACTCCCATGGTATTATCAGAAAGTATGACTTGATGTGGTGCAGACAATGCTTCCGCAGCAACACTAAGGAGATTGAATTAATTAAGGTAATGGATTCGAAGTTTTAAGAAAGGAATGATCATATTATTACCTTCTTAAAAAAAAAAAAACTAATAGAGCTGCTATGATGTGGTTGTTGTTTTCATTGTCATGTTAATATTCATATTCATGTTAGGATCTAATTTAGCATTTAAATTTTCTTGTACCTGTGGTTCTAGATACGAGTATATGCCAATTTAAGAATTTTGTAGTTGGTTGTTGGCACTCTATGATACTGAGTTATGGGTCTTGTTTTTCCATTTTTGTGCCGTCTTGAATAAATTACTAAATCATTCTGATTTTTCTTGCATTTGTCATTGCAATATCAGTGAACGAAAAGGCCGATCCCTTCTTGCTAGCGGATTTTGTTGAGCAAGCTGCCATTAGAGATAAATGGATCCCAAGTTGTTATTTTCTTTGTATTTTGAACAATTTTGGCTGTTCTAATTTACCATTGAACTTGAATTGGTATGTGAATCAACAAATTCTACCATATGCTGTTCTTTAATATAGGGTATCACATATTTTCTTGAGGTTGTCCTTGGTGTGACTATTTTGTGAATGCAATTATGGTGAATTTTTTATTTTTATTATAACAAATTGATGAATTGCAGGCAATGTTTTTAATTAGTTGGTTAATTCTCTTGAACTGAATATTTTGGATCGTATATGTTTTATGTCGATGGCATGACAGATTGGTTCTCGTTCATTGTGACCAAATCTAGATTTGTATTGGAACAGATTGCTTTTTTTTTATTTATTTAAATCAGATGAGGGGATCTTTTGCAAGCATTTCTTTTCATTTTGCTATTGCAATAATTACTGAAAAATGCAGAGCCAAGGTATATTCGTGCAAAAACATGAATATTCTGGAGTATTTTCAAAATGAGACTCATTTTAGCTAATGAATACTTATTAGTGGGTTTACAATTTTGTCAAGTTATTAGAGCTTTATTATGCCAGCAATACACTAGATCATTTACCTACACTACCTGCAAAAGGTTTTTTTATTAGATTTTAGGCAAGAATAATGAGTTTTCTATTAAGTTATGGTAAGGTTGAGTATGAGAAAATTTAGTCCTTGGGAAAAATGCCATATTCACATTTTTACATGGAAAATGCAATTTTTTGTTTTGTTATGTATGTACATTTATGGCCCGTATCTGTTCACATGAAATAATTGCTTAGAATAATCATTTATGCAAATTGATGTGGTCTGATGCCAAGTTTAGGATGGGTAGGGAGCTGTAATGCAAGTGTTTATTCCTTGAGCGGGACGGCTTCAATTAATGATCTGTTTTTATTTACTTGATGATAATGTAAAAAGTGAGTTACATAATGCTATAGGGGTTGAGTAAAGGGGAAAGGAGTTATATTACAATGAGGTGGATGCTTGGTAAAGGTAGTTATTTGGATATGAAAATGATAATAATGCATAATGTTTTCGTCCAAAAAGGTGATAGTAGTAATTATTTTTTTGTTAAATTTGGTTCGTGATGAAGTGTAGTACTTAGTTTGCATTAATTATGGTTGATTCCATCCAAATTTGAGCTTGTTTGTATGTAATTTGCAGGTTGATGGTGCTAAAATTTCTTGTAGATTTGAACAAGATACTTAAATGAGCTTACATTTCTTCAAATTGTGAATGGTTTATGGATGGTAGTACACAATTCTTAAAGTTTTTATTACTTTCCATCTACTTGCACATAATTTTGCAGTCACACAATTGATGCTTTTCTCATTCTGGTGATGTTTTATTGTAGTATTTTTATTTTATTTTACTAAGCAGGATGGGAATTAGAAATTTTAGGATGACGTGAGAAAATGTATTTAGCAGATGAATTTGCCAACATTTAATGTCACATACTGTGGTTAACTTGTTGCTTTTCTAATGCATGACTGCTAATGTTTGAAATGCATTAGCCTGTCTCAATCCCTTTTTTTGTTTTTTTTTGGTGGGGGGGGATCAAGCATAAACAATCGGTGCTTGCTAATTGTAAGTTTAGGATTTTGGCCTTTTTTTGGTGGTTTTCTCTTGGCTAATTATAATCAGCCAATAATTATTTTTTAGAAGTACTGGCTAATTATTTTTTCGATTCGTGGCTGATAGCAGTCGGAAATTTGGAGTCAATTTTATCTTTCAGCATGATTTTACTTTTCCAGGTCTGTTGTTTTGTTTCTCAGAGATCTGGTATTTATAAAGTTCACGTTATGTTCTGAAAAATTTTTCCCTTGAGAATTTTTCTCAGTTTGCTGCAGTCAAGAAAAGAAAATATTAACTAGATTTGGCCATGTGGTATGGGTACTGTATAACTCCACTTTCTCTTTATATTTTTGTGCTTCACTCTCTCATGATCTCCTAGAAATTCCGCACTCAAAGTTACTGGTTTGGTGCTGTCTATAAACTATATATAGTACTGTATTTTTTTCTTCTTCGGAACCCTTTTTTTTGGTTTCTACATATCCATTTTTCCTGGTTACAAGATGAGGAATTGAGATATACAATCAACGGATGGTTTTTATCCTTTTTTTTTTGTTTTCTTTGGAGTGGTGCACGATTCACCTCACAGGGTCATAAACATATCTATACTTATTATCCCTTTTTTTCTAATGAGCTTCCTTTCGATTGATCAGCATCAAAGGGAATACCCACAACAATTGATCAGCATCAAAGGGAATACCCACAACAATACATCAAGATATTACCTGAAATACACTAATAAGCAAACACTATTTGGTTGGAAGATAGAAAAATCAATTCCAAGTGCAGTACATAAGTCCCGATTGGCCTTTATGTGAGTTACTCTATTCCATTCTGCTATGACTACTTTGATATCTGCAAGCGCATAATGAAGCACTCCATCATCAGGAATGATGATATTGGATTGGTAAATCTGACTAAACTCAAGCTTTTCTTTTCTTTCATGGTGACTTCTCAGATTAAGAAACTCAATTGCAGAACTATGTTAACAAAATGGCACTTCTCACATGTGCAGAAACATCTCATCAGAGGTTGTTTTCATTAGGTAGAAATTGAAATGTTGACATTTTGGATAGTTAATTTTAGTGTAAATTTTTGTTTGTTTAAATGGTGTTATTTTCATTGACCTTGCTATATTGTGTATGGAAGTGGTAATTAGGTTTATGGATCTAGCAAATTCAATGTTTACTTTGTTTTGGTCTCTAATTTGTGGGGAATTTTATTAGATTGATATACTAATCATGAAGGAAAAAAACTGCCGTAGTCGTTGCAATCTTTTAGCTCGTAGTGGTCCTTAAGGTATTACTTTCTTGTGCAATTTTTTGTGGTGATTAAATTTTAAGGTATTGGCTTAACCTCTATGATTCTCTATTCCATTATATAGGCAAATCAGCTCAGGGTACAACTATTACATAGCGATAAAGGATTGAATAATAAATCTTGTATTCCTGTATATTTTCCACTATTTGGACATTTGGATCATCAGGTGCTTAACGATAATCTTTTAGTGATAGTTTTGAGCTCATAGCCAAACAAAATAGAGCTTTTTAGTGATAGTTGGTAATCATCTTTCCGTTTTGTTCATTACCAAGCATTGTAACGGATAAGATTTTCATTTCTGTGTTCTACTTGCCAATGTATATTGTTGCTTCATGAATAATGTATGTTAAAGATGTAATCACAAAATTTCTCATGACTCAGTACTGTCCTAACTTGTGCTGAGGCTACCCTTGCCAACTATGAGTTTTACATGGTTTTGCAGCCTATATTTTCCTTCATTTATTGCATTGCCTAGAGGACAATATAAGCTCTTCCCCTCCGATGGACTGCTGCTTAAGCTTATAGATTACCTCTTAAGTTAATTTTACAAGTTGGATTGTTTAGGAAATTTTCTTTTCCATGGTGTTGTCTGGTTGTAGATGATTTATGTTATTCTTACTTGCATTTGAGACTGGTAAGATTGAAGTCTCAAATCTTGAGTACTCTCTTAAATTATCTCACCTACTTATGTGCCTATAATTTGCTAAAGAAAATGACTTTTTGTTTATTTAGCTCAACCTAAGCTTTTGCCTTTCTTGGATTTCTTCTGGAGTTGGAAGCAAAAATGGCCACCTGTGAAGAACAACTGGTGAGACAAAACGTAAGTTTTGTTGTATCATTCTGATTTAATTTTTTTCTTTAAATTGCTCTTTTGAGACCTGGTATGCTTTTCTCTTTGGTCATTTTCAATGGCCTTTGCTCTTTTCAAACTCATTCAAAATTTCTTTTTAATCATTTTTTGGCATCTTTCACGCAGGTATTTTGTTGATCTGCTCAAAAAAAGCATTCCCTATGGTAACTAAAAAGATACACTTGTTTAAAATATATTTCTTCATCTTCAAAATGTATTTCTTTTTGCTTCAGTTCTTCTGTTTCTTTTTCCTTCATTGGGTTTCCAACACTTATAGAACTAATGAATTTCTTCTCTAGGAATCAGGAACTTCTCTGCCAAGTTGGTCATTGGCCAAAATTTTGAGTTACAAAAGATCTTGGGATGCTACTCTTTTGAATGCTTTGTGTTCAATTTTTTGTTTTTTAGCACAGAAAATTGGCTCTTGTTAAAACCTTTTGAATATTTGTTTTATGAGCCTTAAGTGGATATTAAACCAAGTATTTTCAGCAATCTTTTTTTGATTAATTGTTTCTGATTCACTGGATCTTATAAATGGTTTTCCTGTTTGTAGGTGGTTAAAGTTTTGCCCAAGACAAGGATTCTCAAATATTAGATTCTAAACACCTGCTTGAAATAGTAAGTTATTGTTTTAACACCTTAAATGTTCTATTCATTTGCCGAAAAAAGAATTAACTTACTGCATAACTGTAGTTTTGCCTCTTTAATCATAGACTATGATGTTTGGTAGCTTAGAAATTTTTGTTAGAAAATTCAGTTTTAGTTGATTTAAATATGTATTTACAAAACATGATGTTCTCTTAGATTTGTAACATCTCTCACCTAATAGTTTCTCTCACCTAATTTAGCATATCTTGATTGCATTATTGATAAAGATGTGCTGAGAAATGAGCTTCAGTTATATATCCAAACGGTGGTTTTTTCTATTCCTCATGAGATTTGCTTCGGTTGTACATTTTCTTCTCTCAAGTTAAATTGAAAAGTTATTCTGTTTACTGATTTTATTACATGGACGCTTGTCTTGGGAGATTGGTATTGATCATCATTTAAGCTGTGAGGAATGAATGAAAAAAAAAAAAAGCATACCTAGCAGAAAACCCTTCACCATTTTTCAAGTTCTTTGGGGCATTGTGATTTCTTTCACTGGCTGGTCCTCATTGAATTATCAAAATGAATCTAATCTTTCTATGTTGGCAAACCGCAATCCTCTCCTCTTTTGAATACCTCTAATTACTCCTTCTCAGAACCCAAACAGACCATGGCTAGGGAAAAATATGAGGTTATGATTCTATAGAGACTCGTCCTAAGGATGGCTTTTGAAAACTTATCACTGGTAGGGTTTCAAAAGGCAATCTTGGAGTTGCTGTAGTTGTAAGGAATTAATATGGATTTTGGGCCATTGGATCAGTAAACGATCAGGAATAGCTTCCAATCTTCATAGATCATTATTGCTACAAACTGGAATTGGAAGTTTATGCTATTAATATTTTTAATCTTTTAAACCAATATGATACTGCTATTTATAATGTGCTATGGTTATATCTGATTGTAGGTATCTTATCGTATTTTGGCAGCAAGTCTTGATCAAAGCATGTAAGCAGTGAAGCAAATCAGATGGTAGATTGTTTAGCTAATGTATAGGATGCTAACAACAGGATATCTTTTATTATGATGTTATGCCCCACCATCTTTTAGTTGCAAGATGACTGTTTGGGGATTTTATTCTCATTTTGTATGATTGTATATTATTTTAAAGTTCCTTTTATGAAAAAAAAACTTCTAAAACTATGAAAAGCTGAAACTGTAGCTTATTTTTACTATTTAATAAAATTACAAAAACATAACTGCAAAGATATTGATGCATTTTTATGTAACTTTTCATATTTAATATTTAAATTTGAATGATTGGGCATTTATGGGCAATATTGAAAATCACACCGCACATCGTGCGGTGTTATCCTCCTAGTTATCAATAAATGGTCAACAGATGAAAACAGGTCTTTGTGATTATACCCTACTATTCAAATTGGGTTGACCACTTCATGTTCACACATCAGGAAATTGATCAAGGCTGTGTTGTTTTGTGTGCATCAATGTTTGACCAAAGGTTATAACCAATGTTTTGAAAATCGGACCAGATCGGCCGGTTCGATCAGTTGAACCACGAACCGATTATGGCACCGGTCCGGTTCTATTTAGGGTTGACCATGCTAGAAAACCCGTCAAAAATCGGTCCAACCATGAAACCGTCGAAATCGGATTGAACTGATTTTTTCCGGTTTTCGAGTTTTCCTCTTTTTTTTTTTTTTTTAACGTTTTGCAAAATGTAATTTTCAAGATTCGAACTCATGACCTTTGTAATAGAAGACCAATATAGTAACCGTTGCACTATTACATCTTATTAATTTTTTTTATAACTTATTTATATAAAACAAACACTCATATTTCTTTTTTCCATTTTTTTTACAAAATCTCATCCTCTCATGGCTCTTTCTTTTTAATTTTCAACTCTCTCTCTCTCTCTCTCTCTCTCTCTCTCTCTCTCTTTCTCTTTCTCTCTATCCTCTTTTCTTTTGTCATTCCCTTTTTAATCAAACATCTTTATTTTTAATTTATTGATGTTTTCTTACATCTTTTAATTTTATTTTTGTCCATTAAATTAAAAAAGTTAAAAAAGAATTTTTTTTTAACCCAAATTATTTAATGCCACAACCACTTACTTTTATCTCATTTTTTGTTTCTTATCAAGTTTGCATTTCTATTTTCAATTCTCTTGACTTCTTTCGAACTCCAAACTTTCTTTTTTAAATTGCAATATCTAAATCCCAAAACGTAAATTAAAATTTAAGTTCACAATGTCTAAATTCTCATAGACGTGAATTTTGTATAATTTCAAAATATTGTGATATTTTTGGGTTGGACTTAAGATTTTTTGGTAGATATAATTGAAATTGAGATGAAATTTATTTGTTTTAACTTATAATTCAAAAATAAATAATTTATTTTTAAAAATCCAAGTTATTCAAAAATAGTAAACTTTTCATCATGTAAAGTATTAAATTAGTCCATTACATGTCTTATTTTGTGCATATATATATTTATATAAATTTTTTTTAAAAAAAATTCATTGAACCAAAATTGAACTGGTCCGACCAGTTGAACATCGACACTTTCACTTCACCGGTTCAATTAACGGTCCGGTTTTTAAAACATTGGTTATAACAGGTTTCATGTCCAGCTTGACTCACTTTTTTTGGTTAACATTCTGCTTAACAAGCTCTCATACCCATGGTCCATATTGTTGGAGATGGAGGAGCTACAGCAACTTTCCCAAGCATTCATATCAATTTTGCATTGTTAACGGGAGCTAATCATATCACGGATCATTTATCTAAGAGGGGGATGAACCAATCTTCTTATAGCTTATATGCACTTCCTTGGACTCTTCCGGTTCCAGCTCGTGGATCATTTTCTTTAGATAGAGCATAGATACCTTCTTTCAGAAGGCATGCTATTAGATGGTACATATGTGTTTACATAGATTATTTTTGGCTAGACATTTTTGCAGTAGTAGTCATGATTATATTCAAGTCACGTATGCCCACCTCAAACTCTTGTAATGTTCATTTATTTTATGGTTTAATAAAATAAAAGGCTGGCATCCCTCCTTCATGAACGAGGTTTGCCATTAAAAAAAGCAGAGAGAGAGAGAGAGTCCCTTTCTGTTTAACCGTGGAAAAAGAAAATGATTTAGTGAAAATTGGTAAGAAAAGGAATGACTTTTTCAGTGATTGCTAGTCGTACTTTACGCAATATGAAGGATGAGATCTCATTCAAAGTTAAAAATATAATGTCCTCTATGAAGAAAAATTTGAACTTAGACATTTTTTATAAGAAAGCTTGGTATGATAGAAGAAAAGTTATTGAACTTGTTTATGGCACTTGGGGTATGAATTTTGCTGAATTACCGAAGTATGTGGAAGCATTTGTCCAATCAAGTAATATTAGTGTTTAGTTAATATCTTCTTCGAATATTACATCAATGCTAAAATAATGATTTACTCTTGATTACATCAAAAAATCATTAATGTTAAATTCAAGATCAATGGATTATTTTAAGCAATCACTTAATAACCTTCAAATTCATCCTCCATAATTTTGCAAAATAAAAGACAAAATCCACACTCGGAAAAAAAAGCGGCCTGCTTATTTTCACAAAAAATTTAAAAAAAAAAAAAAGAAAAGAAAAGAGATGCATGAGCCTTGGATGAAAAAATAAAAGGCTCCCTATCTCGTATATGTTAAATGCAAGGTCCATCACCTCGCACTTGACAAATGCGGGGTTACTGAGCTTGACCTCACATTTGCCAAATGCGAGGTGTGAAGTAAATTTTTTTTTTTTGGCAGATTGGAAATTTAACAGGACGTCACATTCATCAAATGTGAACTTACTCAGTTCGCATTTCACAAATGCAAAGATCCCTTGGCTAAATTCTACACTTAAAATACTCCTTTTGCAAAATTTTTTTAAAATTCATCATCAACTTAGAAATTTCTCTTAATTTACCTGAGTTCGGAAGTAGATTTCGGAGTGGAAGTAGTGAGAGAAACAAGTAGAATTGGGAAAAACTGAAAGAGTGGGAGCTGTAGAATATGACAAGTTGGGAGTGAAAAGTGAAAACTAGAAACTGATAAAAATTAAGCCTATTTTGTGATTGAGCTTTACTTGTTAAGAAGACCAGACATTTTTAACAGATGAGTTTGACTGAGCTCCATGAATAAATCTGTTAATGTACACCTTTTATCATTCATGCATGTGGTAACATCTGTTGTAAACCTCTAGTGAGATGTATGAGCTCCATCATATTTCCTTGATAAAATTGCAGGTCAAAGTATGGTGCACAAAGCAGGAAGCTAGTGTTCTCAACATTGACATGAAGTGTAAAGCATAATCCTGGATCCAGTGTTCATGTTGCGGTAAAGTATTTTTTGTTATCAGCCTTATTCTTAATCTGGAGTCTATTTACTTCTACGAAATTCGCAGAATCTGGTTGATTACTTGTCCAAATAACTGAATGTGGTTTTCCATAAAAGGTGATCGCTACCTTGTATCATGTTGCTGTTACGAGCAACTTCACATATTTTTCCATTTTGCTGGTTGGCTCTGCAGACCACCATATCTACTATTATGATTTGAGAAACACTAGCAACCCACTTTACATATTTAGTGGGCATAAGAAAGCCGTTTCATATGTGAAGTTTTTGTCCACCAATGAGCTTGCTTTTGCATCAACCGACAGCACCCTGTGTTATATGTGGCTTTGTCCCACGTCGCTTTTTGTACAAGGAAGTCTTTTTCTTAGTTGGTTATAAATAGAGTGAGCCCGTGATGGGATTAGACACACCAAACCAAGCAAGTATTAGTGGGCTATTTGGGCCTTTGGGATATTAACCCTTTTGTTTAGTAAAATATTTTGGACTCTCTTATATTTTTAGTATTAGATGTTTTGGCCCTAGGACCACTTTCCTAGACATTTTTGTACTCTTTTCTTTACTGTGAAATTTAATTCCTCCTTCGTTCGTGGACATAGATCAATTTGACCGAATTACGTAAATTTCTGTGTTATTGTTTTATTTATTTTTTGCTTTGTTATTTGTCTTTCAGAGTTGCCAAAAATCCTTTGACCATATTCCTAGGACCAGATCTAACAAACTGGTATCAGAGTTTCTTTGAAAGTTTTGAATTTTATGGCAATAGTGACAATAACAAAAACTGTTGTTGAAAAATTCGATAGGAATGTTAATTTCAAGATGTGACAGCTCAAGATGGAAGCCATTTTAATTCAAGATGGAGTTGATTTAGCGATACAGGATGTTGAGAAAAAGCCAGAGAGTATGACAAATGCAAATTATACTGAGATAGATAAGAAGGTTTGGTTCAGTATTATCTTAAATCTCTCTGACAAGATTTTGCGGGAGGTAACCACTGAGATTTTGACAAACGCCATGTGGGACAAACTTAAAGTTTGTACATAAAGAAGACAGTTGAGAATCGATTTTATTTAAAGCAAAGCCTGCATATGTTTCGAATGACTGAAAATACATCTATACTCTCATATCTTGATAAATTTGATTTCATTATTATGGATTTGAAAAATATAGATTTGAAAATTGATGATGCGGAACAAGCCCTGTAACTTTTGTGTTCCCTTCCCCAATCCTTTAAATATTTTTGCGATACTATGAATTATGGAAAAGAAATAATTTCGTATTAGGAAATTAAATCTACATTAAAATCTAAGATGTAGATAGATAGGGACATTATTAAGGGAATTAATGGAGGTTAGGTAGAAGGCCTAGTTGTTAGAGGCAGAACCAAAAAAGAGAATTTGACAGTATTAGATCCAAATCTAGATTTAAATTCATATATAGAAATTTGGAGTGCAATTATTGTCATACAATGGAGCACATTAAGGCAAATTATTTTAAATCGACAATAGATTAAAGAAAAAAGAAAAACCTGGTGAGAAAAATACTGAAACTGTCGAATCTCATGTTACAACTGATGAGAATAATGAAAATATTTTCTTTGTGATTGATGACAGGATAAGATCCAAAAATGAATGAATTTTAGATTCGAGATACTCTTATCACATGTGTCCCAATAGGGATTTGTTTTCACTTATAAAATTTGTAATGGTGGAATTGTTTTGATGGACAATAATGCCGTTTGTGATGTTGTTAGTAAGAGTACA